GGGGGGGGGGGGGGGGGGGGGGCGAGGAGAGAGAAAGAGAGAGAGGAGTGCAGCATAGATTTTCCATGCAATGGGGATCTTATGGTAATAACTCGGATCAGTGTTACAATTAATCAAGTAGAAGCTGGATCATGGTACATGTATGGTAGATTGAATTCTCAGCTCAGTCACATGATACATCACATGTGATCACTTTCATTAAAGAACTGAACGGACGTGTAAAAAATATTTAAACTTGAATTATAAACTGTACGAATCAAATTAATATAAGTGATACAATGAGAATCAAATCGACAAAAGTTGAAAAGTTATGCAAGGTATCATAATGAAGTTACTACGTAAAATTACAACTTTATCCGGTAAAGTTATAACTAAGTAGGGTTACTTAGGATTGAATATAAGCCATTGTTCAGTAACACTTTTTCAAAGTATTTTTTTAAAGCAAAAAAGTAANACGTAAAATTACAACTTTATCCGGTAAAGTTATAACTAAGTAGGGTTACTTAGGATTGAACATAAGCCATTGTTCAGTAACACTTTTTCAAAGTATTTTTTTAAAGCAAAAAAGTAAATTTGACACAATTTTGTTTTTTACTTGAAAGCAAAAACATGTTTCTTACATATATTTGGGAACGTACTTTGAAAAAAATGCACACACACACTAGTACACCAAACCCCCCCACCCCCAAACATACTCATACACTAACACACACAAAAATACTAATATATCAAAACACACATGTACACGTATACACATACACACACTAATACACTAAAATGCACACTGACACACCAATCATAAACACACGCTTNTCATACACTAACACACACAAAAATACTAATATATCAAAACACACATGTACACGTATCCACATACACACACTAATACACTAAAATGCACACTGACACACCAATCATAAACACACGCTTCAAATTACACCAAAATATACACACACTAATACACCAATATACACACTGACACACCAAAAGTACATACATAAACACATGCTCTATAATACACCAAAATACACACACACATATACTACGGATCAATGTTTTAGTGTGTGTGTGTGTGTGTGTGTTTTGATGTATTAGTGTTGGGGGGTGTTGGTCATGTATGTGTGTGTTTTGGTGTATTAAAGTGTGTGTGTGTATTTTGGTATATTAGTGTATGTGTATATGTGTTTTGATGTATTAGTGTTTCTGTATTTTTTGGTGGATAAGTTTGTGTTTTTTTTGTGTTTGTATATTAGGGTGTGTGTATGTGTGTTTTGGTGTATTAGTAGTTGTGTGGGTATGTGTGTGTATTTTGGTGGATTAGTGTGTATATATATATATATGTTTTGGTGTATTAATGTGTATGTGTATGTTTTGGTGTATTAGTATGTGTTTTTTAGTGTATTAGTATGAGTGAGGGTGGAGAGGGAGGGANGGGGGAGTGCATAGATTTTCCATGCTAGGGGGAGCTTATGATGACAACCTCGGATTAGTGTTAAAAATTAATCAAGTAGAGGTTGGATCATGGTACATGTATGGTAGGTTGAATTATTGGCTCAATCATATGGTAGATGACACGTGATCACTTTTATCAAAATTTGAATTAATGAATTTGCAAAATTGATAAATATTGATAATTTTGGGACCAAAGGTGCACATTGCCCAAATAAGATTAAGACTTAACTATGATGCCGAAATGTCATGCGAGGTATCATAATGAAGTTACTACATAACATTACAACTTTATTTGGTAAAATTATAATGAAATAGAGTTATTTAGGGTTGAACATAAGTCTCTGGTAATGCTTTTTAAATTTTTTTTTTAAAGCCAAAAAAAAAAACAAATTTGACACATTTTTTTTTTGCTTAAAACAAAAACAAGTCTGATAAATATATTTGGGAATGTACTTTGAAAAAAAAAATAAACACACTAATACGCTAAAACAAATAGATACAAACACACACTAACACATCAAAATGTAAGCCCATAAACACATCGTAATACTCCATAATACACCAAAACACACACACACACTTGCACTAACAATTAATGTTTTAGTGTGTGTGTGTGTGTTCTGATGTATTAATGTGTGGGGGGTGCTGGTTATGTATGTGTTTGTTTTGGTATATTAGTGTGTGTATGTATATTTTGGTATATTAGTGTATGTGTATATATATTTCGATGTATTAGTCTCTGTATGTGTGTGTATTTTCTGGTGGATTATTGTGTACTTTTAGTGTATATTATGGTGTGTGTATGTGTGTTTTGGTGTATTAGTTGGTGTGTGGATATGTGTATGTGTGTTTTGGTGTATTAGTTGGTATGTGGATATGTGTGTGTTTTGGTGTATTAGTTGGTGTGTGGATATGTGTGTGTGTGTTTTGGTGTATTTGTGTGTGTATTTATATTTATTTTGGTGTATTAATGTGTGTGTATATATATATTTATTGGTATATTACACGNGTTTTGGTGTATTTGTGTGTGTATTTATATTTATTTTGGTGTATTAATGTGTGTGTATATATATATTTATTGGTATATTACACGTGTATTCAAATAAAGGGGAGCACATTGCTATCATGAAAATGCCAACTATTACCANACCAAAGGTGCACATTGCCCAAATAAGATTAAGACTTAACTATGATGCCGAAATGTTATGCGAGGTATCATAATGAAGTTACTACTTAACATTACAACTTTATTTGGTAAAATTATAATGAAATATAGTTATTTAGGGTTTAACATAAGTCTCTGGTAATGCTTTTTAAATCTTTTTTTTAAAGCAAAAAAAAAAAAACAAATTTGACACATTTTTTTTTTACTTAAAACAAAAACAAATCTGATAAATATATTTGGGAATGTACTTTGAAAAAAAAAATAAACACACTAATACACTAAAACAAATAGATACAAACACACACTAACACATCAAAATGTATGCCCATAAACACATCGTAATACTCCATAATACACCAAAACACACACACACACTTGCACTAACAATTAATGTGTTAGTGTGTGTGTGTGTGTTCTGATGTATTAATGTGTGGGGGGGGGANCACACACACTTGCACTAACAATTAATGTGTTAGTGTGTGTGTGTGTGTTCTGATGTATTAATGTGTGGGGGGGGGATGCTGGTTATGTATGTGTTTGTTTTGGTATATTAGTGTGTGTATGTATATTTTGGTATATTAGTGTATGTGTATATATATTTCGATGTATTAGTCTCTGTATGTGTGTGTATTTTCTGGTGGATTATTGTGTACTTTTAGTGTATATTATGGTGTGTGTATGTGTGTTTTGGTGTATTAGTTGGTGTGTGGATATGTGTATGTGTGTTTTGGTGTATTAGTTGGTATGTGGATATGTGTGTGTTTTGGTGTATTAGTTGGTGTGTGGATATGTGTGTGTGTGCGTTTTGGTGTATTTGTATGTGTATTTGTATTTATTTTGGTGTATTAATGTGTGTGTAATATATATTTATTGGTATATTACATGTGTATTCAAATAAAGGGGAGCACATTGCTATCATGAAAATGCCAACTATTACCATAATACCAGCATGAATCGAAGTAGATTCTGGAGTGGGACCCTCCATAGAATTGGATGACCAAGTATGCGATCTTATGTGTATGGATTTTTCAGCAATTAATGTGTGTATTTGTACATATATTTTATTATTCTTATCCTAGAAAATAAAGAAAAAGATACGCTCCATTAAGATAAATATCTACTTCCATTATTATATATAATAAATGAACATGACAATGCTTACATTTATTAATCACAATAACATCTAAGGATTCATGTTCATGATTTTACTTTTAAAAAAAAAGCACACGGCATTGATCCGTGTTAATGTACGGAAGGAGAGAAAGGAAACCTTTTTTTTTTCGAAGTGGTTCAGAAAAGTAGCAGTAAAGCTTGAAGAAGATCTATCTATCATACGGTTTTGTTTTGTTTTGCGTTTTTTTTTAATAAAAAATGGGTTTTCTTTTGCTGGGTGTCATTTCAAAGGAGATTGGGATTTAGTTTTGAGATGCTGTGGGGAAG